CATCTTAAACATTAGATTTTTATTAGTAGTGATTAACATACGTAGATAATTTCATATTGTCGTGGAGGCTGTGCATTTGTGAAGTACGGGTTGCTGTTATTTAGGGCTTAGGGTCGTAAATCCCCGAGGTCTTCAACGCATATCTAATCTTCATTTTAATTATTTCAATAATAAATTATTATGGGAAAGGAAAAAAAAAAAACACTCGAATTTTAATTTTGTTTAGTAAAACATTAGCTTTAAGAAAATTTATCACCGACCTTACTTTAACTTCATCACTATTTAAAACAACTGATAATTTTGCTGAGTCCTAATTTGGTTAGAATTGATATGTAATAAGGACACCCTTGAAGAATGTGGCTGACTATGAGAATATTGTTGCAATGTTGGCATTTGGGTACAGGCTGTTTGGTTATGAGATAAGAATGTGTAACTTTTGTATTTCCTATCCTTAGTCTAGTTAAGGAACTTCCTCTCAACGAACGGTTCGAGGAGGATAGCTTGAATTTGCTCGGTGGGCTCTCATTCCACATGGACTGCCAGCCAAGAGCTATTTCCTTTTTGAGAGAGAGGCTTTTGTCATGTAGTATTAATATGGCAGCATCCCGGCCTGGGAGGATGAGTGCTTGCTTGGCTGCTGTGTACGCAAGCTCATTTCCAGTGGTCCTCACTTGGGCCGGCATTAAATATGAAGTCTATTGCCTTTTTCAAATTATCGAGCACGTTTGAATAAGCATAGATTTTAAAAATAATCGGATGTCTCGGATGTATATTATTAATGCCTTTTAAAGAACTAAATGAATCTGTTATTATTACTATTGTTTTGGACATGGAGAAATGGAGAGCTGAGGCTATTGTGTGAAGTTCAGCTGTGTATACATATATATACTGCACAACTTTTGTAGTTTTATTTTGTGGGTAGAATCACGAGTAATACAATCCTTGGGGTAGGGTCCGTTGTGACATTTTCTTTCTTTTCTAATTTGCTGCTATGAGATAACCATTTAGTGACTTACTATAAAATGTACACTTTACTATAAAAAACATATTTCTTCTTTCTAATTGGTATACTAAAAGATTGAGGATGATTAAATTAAAATTGTCGCAACCGTACCCAGTCTCCCCTACTCAATAAAGTACTCAATGCTCACTCAAGTACTTTATGTTACACCTTTCTTCCTGCTGCTGAGAATCGGCATATATTTGCAGCTTCCCAGTTGTCTTCCTTAGTATCGGTCAGTAATGCGAATATCGGTTCCTACATTTAATTTTGGGAGAGATGAGCTAACACCGAAGATCTGGGAATTAAGATACCTCATAGAAAGTTTGTTTTTGATAATTTCTTAAAATTATTTAAATAGTAACAAAAGTGGATCGATGAAAACAAATATTATTTTGTAGGAGCTCCAGCCCGAAAGCCTCATTCCCTTTAAATCCGCTGGATGGATCGCGTGACGCTCCGCCAATTAGACATAGCCTTAGAAACGTCTCACAGTCTAATCCAATGTGTGAAATCATTGAACCCAATCATGAATACAATTACTGGAGATTTGAAAATGCTTCATTCCAGCATCATTTTGAAGTCACTATTAATTTTTTTTTACCCGAAGAAGATTGTGCGGCATCCTATTCACTGAACCTGTTTAAGTAGTATAGTCCAGATAGGGAGGGTTATGTTTATTTTGAGGGTTATGTTTAAAAGCCCGCAAACAGGTGCTTTATATCAGGGGAACCTTCTGGGAAAAATGTATCTAGAACAACAAAAATGCATACATCAGACTCGTCCTGACCTATGAATATGAAAACACAAGAACTAGCTAAAATTTACGCTTTAGCAGCCTTGGCCATCACGTTATCCACACTATAACACCGATCATCAAGTGTCTATCAGCTGATCAGCAGGGACTACATTAAACAAATTTTAGCGTAAGTGTGTATTTCAAGTATAAATTTTAGCATTCTCGAGTGAAGTGACACCGGTTCGAATCCGGTCTGGGTGAGTTGAATATTATTTTGTGGCGGACCCAGTAGTTATAGTCATGAAAATTGTATGAAACACCGTTGTCATGAAAAGTGGGGTGTAAGTGCCATCAAGTGGTTTTTTTCTCTTATGAGATTTGATTGATGCATAATCCAAGTTTTCGACCTCGACAGTCCCTTGGATCACTTTTGAATATCCCCAAAACTGGTACACTTTCGATTTTTTTCTCCCCCCATTTTGACGACCGAGGGGCAAATTATTGACAAAAAACATTTGATCCATTATTAAACTAGATTAAATTTATTTCAATTTGAGACCAAAATAGATTCTGTAAACTTAATAGGTTTTAAACTATAGATTTTCAAAATTTCCAAACTTAAAAATTGTAAGGTATAATAATTTCCATGTTTTATCAAACGCAATTGTCTTCATTTATTCAGTAATCTGTCTGATACAAGCCAGTTAAATAAATATTTATTCATTTAACACTCTGAGAGAGAAGGGCTGAGAGAGAAGGGAGGTTTGGTGGACGAGGAGGGAGCGGGGGGAGATGTTCACTGTTCACAACCAGACGACGGAAATCGAAATACAAAATTTATTTAACAAACATTTGTATTAAGTATCTACAGAAAGTGTGAATGAAAGTGTAAACGAAATGTGAATTGAAAGTGTTCTCTCTGATTCAAAGGACCAAACAAATTCGTCCATCCATCTCCTTCAGTGCCGTATTCATCGTCTTGGTCTAAACTGAAATTAAATGAAAATATTTATTTGTTGAATGTCCCAAGGTAAAATCTTGTCAAGAAGTCCTAATATAAAATTATATTATAATATATATTATTGTTTTACTTGGTAGAAATGACTGTGCACTTAATATAAACGTTTGTTAAATAAATTTTGTATTTACATTTCGGCCATCTGATTGTGAAGAGTCACCTCCCACAATCACCCTTCAAAATGTTAAATTGATTAAGGATGTTTATTACTCTCAATCGTACCAGACAGGTTATTGGAGATTTGAAGACAATTGCGTTTGAGAAAACATGAACATTATTTTAGCTTAAAATTTTCAAGTTTAGAAAATTTGCCAAATTCTGAAAAGCAGTATTTTAAATCTTGTTAGGTTTAACGAGCCTATTCTGCTCTTGAATTGTAGTAAATGTATTCTGATTAAAAATGTATAGAATGTTTTGTTTGTCTATGATGTGCTCTTTCGTGGTCAAAAAACCCGAAAAACCGAAGAAAAAAATAGGGCGGAAATTTAGCAGTTTTTAGAATATTCAAAAGTGGTTCGGTGAGGGGGGCTCCGAGGTATAAAATTTGAATTTTCTTTGAACCACCACTTAACCAAACATACAATATACAAGGTGCCAGTACTTGCCAGAGAATGAATCTAGACCTTCCCACTCTGATTAGAATAGGTTTGTTTGGTTATACCTTGGAATTGAAATAGAAAAAAAAAAGTGTGTTTCATGCGGCCTTGCTCCACACTGGATAAGATAATCTTTATATATTATTTCTCAAAGGTATTTTTTTGTCGGCACACCAGATCTTCACACATTCTTCATCAAATCCAATGATGGAGCCCTCATTTTGAAGATCTTCTTCTCCTTGATTCATTCAATGAGAAAAGTAGATCCCCATCCGAAATTTCAGGGAAAAAGTACATACAAAAAAATAAGTGCATTTTTTGTTCTAAATTTTCAAAAAGTCAATAGAATTACTGAAAACAAAGCAAATGATTCCTTCATCACGTGATACGTTAAATTTTTTAAATTCCTAATTATTTTGTCAGTTGTTCACTGACCAACACTCTTTGAGAATCATTCATATGGCCAGCTAGTTCATTTTATTAGATTAAAAAGATAAAAATAATTGCCTAACAGAAAATAACAATAAATTGAAGAGAAGTTGGTTGGGGTGTTGAGTCAAAAGTGAAAATAGAAAAATGATATTTATGAACTCGATGAAGGCCTGAACTTTGGGCCGACACGTCTGTAAAAATAAAAATAAATATCATTTATTTATTTTTACCTATTATTTTTGACTGAACACCTCAACAAACATCTCTTAAATTTTCACTAGTCAATCATCAATCCACTATTATAAAATATCAAAAATACCTGCTCTTTTTATTAACTAATTAGATATGGCACGAATATTTAATTTTTAATTAGAAAATATAATTTTTCAAAATTACAAAATATTTAATGTCGATTAAAAAAAAAAATAATTTATACATTAATTATTTATTTTGATCTGGTGAATATTGTTTTGGAAAAGTTATATTTACAACATTACTTATGGTGAGCGTATTTTTCTTTTAACTACGAGCAGCAATATTTCCTAAAGTAGGTTGAACTGAATAAATGATGTAGATCGAAGTTTTAATATCGCATGAAATTTTTTCCAACATCGATTGATGATCACAGCGTGAGTTAAGCTGACACATATTAAAGTTTAAAGGTTTTGTGTCTGTGTCTATAACGATCAAAAAGTAGTGTAACAAAAAGCTTACAACTATACCTACCTCTACTTTTGTAGCTCTTTATTGCCTTAGTCCTTAAAATCATTGAAAGTTGAAGTGTGAAAAACTTCGTTTCTTATGTTTATTTAAGGATGTTAAAATTTATTCTGTAACCGTTGTTAATTATATTAACTTTTCATATCATCTACCCTAAACTCCATAATCATTACAATATAAAATTAAATTGTCTTCTAAAGTAGGCGTTAATGGTAGAAGCTCATTATTAAAACAATATTTTATTGATTTTGTAATAAATCTATTTAAATCAGGAATTATATTCGAAAATTGGGTATTAGTTGTAGCTTAAAATATATATTAAATAAATAAGCTGACTTTCTCTTTTTTTAATTATGTGGTATTATGGAAGTCGAGCTCATTAATTTCATAGCTCCATACTTAGTAAAAAAACCTTATTGTATTTTAAATGCCCAGGGGTTTGGGCGTGTCCAGAGAGCAGGGGTGGGGTGGTAGATGTGACGTCACAGCTTTCCCGTCACAGTGGCGCTACCTACCAGTAAGTCCCACTCATTCCCTCAGTCAAGAGCCGTTAGTGTCTGAACCGGAGGACTCAAGTTGAAGGCATTGTACAATGGCCGAAGAAAATAACGTTGCCGAAGCGAAGGAAGAGGTGCAGGAGCAGAAGCAGGAGGTGAAGGAAGACACCAAGGCACAAGAGGCTGCCAAGGAAAAAGAAGCCGAGCAGGCTGCCCCAGCTCCTGAACCACAGCCTCCCAAGCCCATTGTCCATAAGACAAATTTCGAAAAAGATGTCGTATATCTTTTTCAGTTTTCCCGAACCCCAGTCATCCCCTCAATGTCCCCTTACTGCCTCAAAGTTGAAACTTGGCTCAGACTTGCTGGAGTTAGATATGAGGTAAGCATCAGTTTATGCTTAGATTTTATATGGCGGCCATATTCAGTTTACTTGAAGTAGCGTCTCACTTGTTTTTATAAATTAATCGTTTATATACGTGATTTTATTGTGTATGCATGTCTTATTTTGTTGTATCATATTGATTTATTTTATTTTTTTTTGTTTTTTGTATTTACACTTTTAACTTGTAAGATCTTAAGTTATATCCAGCAAATGTAAATTTTAATTTTTTTGTTACTTTTATCTACCTATATAATTTCGTTATTTTTAACTGTATAGAAACGGGTGAAGATTGTTTTGCCGGTTCGGCACGCTCTTCAAGCCGGAGACGCTAAGGCAACCTCACTTTCTAAATTACCTCCCGCCCGAAATTAGTTTCATTTTGATAAAACAAAAAATTACATTTAAACTAATTAATTTTTAAAATTTTAACCGAAATGTTATCCCCATTATCAGTAATGTTTGTATATTTTAGTTGATAGAATATTACGCCTGCTGTCAATAGATTATTTGAGCTTAATTCTCATTATCCTATTCAAGATATACTTTGAACTGCTGGAGGGTTTAAGACTTAAGTATCGGGATTGATGTAGCTGATAAATTTATGAATAATATTGTTTTTATACTGTGCTATTATTTTAGATATTTCTTTCATTCGAACGATAAAATTTAATCATGAGATGTATTTGAGTAATATATTTAAACGACTCTGATTAAGTTCAATATGTATTTCTCAAAATTCTACTTTGATTAAGTTATACCCTTATTGCTTACTGATATATTAGCCTGCTAAGTTTTGTAAATTAGATAACTTTATTTTTTATGTACATATAATTGTTTTCAGTTAGTAAACTTGATTTCATTACGACATAAGTAATCAATCTTGCAATTATTTTTAATGGAATATTGATAATGAAAAATAATATGTATAACTTATAAGGATTATTTTTGTTTATGCTGAGATTTTAGGACAAACTTCAATTTTTAATTATTAGTTAACTTTTATTCTTGAAATTTTATGAACTTATTTAACTCTCTTTTAATTTGTTCAACTGATTTAATTAAAGCTTATTTATTATATAAATTATATATCTACTTTATCTAGCAATTGTATACAGTTCAATTAATTAAAATAGAATAAGTAATGGTTCTTTGAGATTGGTAGTATAGTAGTGGTGGATTTTGGTGTTGGTGGTTGGGGTACCCATTGCCGGATCGCCTTTCGGGTTAAACAGATTTAAATGCCTCTACAATAGATGGATGGGGGTACCCTGCCAGTACCTTAGCTTCAATTGGATGCCATTATCCAATGTCGTCAATTGGAAGCTTTCCTATGTGCTCGTCTGTTTCCTGGATGCGGGCCTTTTAACTGAGTCATACTGGCTACCCTCCACCCTGGAGCCCAATCAATACTAGTACAATTCCTGGAACAAATGTTACCCTTGTTCAATTCCAACATACGGACGAATTATTTAATCATTCTGTACCGTTTAATCATCATATTTCTAAACCAATATGCGTATATTTCGTTCAGAAACTCGAGGAGTACTCCATTTTGAACCCATGTCAGATATATGGTCACGAGATCATATTAAAATTCAATACTTGGCAACTGATTACTTCTTTTAAAGGTCAATTAATCCTTTAGTGAAGATATTATATAAACTTTTATTCACATTGAGTGACTAGTATTTTCATTTTGTCCATTTCGGCTAGTAACTTATGCACATCAAAATATTTAATACGTAGGTGCCAACGATAGTTTTTCCATTGGTATTAGGATTAAAAATGTTTGGCATAATGAATAACTATTTTTTATTTTATTTAAATTTTAATCGAGATTGGGATAGTTAAAATTATTTTAATAATTAATTTGTTTATCCAATTATTTTATCAATCACACAGATCATCTCAGTAAGATTCTATGCCTACATACTATGGCTTTTTGTTTCTTTATGGCACTCAAAAGTTTTTTGAAATTCCAAAATGCTATTAATTGAATAATTATAATTTTGTATTATTGTAATATTTCATGGAAAAAAAAAAAAGTTTTTGCAGGAAGAATTGTGCACTTTACTTTATTTTATTTTTTATTTAGCCTTGAAATTGGCAGCACTTTTCTTTACAATGAATTTTAAAGTGTGTGAGTAAGTTAATTATTATCTTCACAATCCACAATAATTACGTCGAATTACTGCCAAGTCATTTAACTGATATGTATGACTAATAATGCATGAACAATCCCTGTTATTATTTCTCACATTTGTTAAGGAGTTATTTAAATATTTACCAGAAGTTTTGAATTTAAATAAGCACATTGGCTTCCATAACAAGAAATTCTATTGTTAGGTTTTAGTAGTTTTTATATTTATGTATATATAATGAATTTGCTTATCATCAGCTTTATATGTATTACTATTATCAGATTGTATAAGTATCTTATAAATTTGAATTTTCTTATAAGGCCGCATCTAGATATAGCTTGGTGCGGAAGTTGGAAATTAGTCATTCAGCTCTTCATCTAGCTTCACTGATCGGAGTCACTACTTCCGGTCATTGCCAAGTCAAAACTGTAGACCAATTTGCACTTGAGGAAGTGACTTTATCACGTACTCAGCGTTTTGTGCATTGGGCTTATGTTTTGATAAACCTTTAAAATACCTCTTTATATAAATATATATAGTAGAAAAAGTATATATATATATATATATATATGTATATATATATATATATATATATATATACTTTTTCTATTATGTCTATTTAAAGAAATGACAAATTGAGTATTTCTCTTTCAAACAGTCAAATTCATATAAGGGTAATAGTTCATTAAGATGAATTTAATTCCCAAAACGGTAGAAGTGAAGAAAAGTAAAATAAGGAATTATAAAACAACTGAAAAATGTAATAACTGTTTGTAATTATATTTTCATTTATTATGAACATAATATACTTTTATCGTTTATGTATTCAAAAGAAACGACAAACTAAGTTTTTATTTTCTTTTAAACAGTTGAATTTGAATTTCTAAGAGTAATATATGGGCCATTGTGTCCAAAACGAAGAATAGTAATGAAAGGCAGTAGTAAGTAATAAAAAAAATATTTTAAGTATGGTATTTTCATTCAATATTCTGTAGTCCTTTTTTAAAATTATATTAATGTTCCTTCGTAATGAAAACCGCTCCGCTTCCATCTATTATTAGAACCTATAAAATTTTAATATGTTATAAATTATTCCATGATAAAAACTGTTGTTTTATTCCAAATGATAATGGTGATTTCATATTAAGAGCAGAATATGTTTTGTTTCCCGTCAAGATTCTGATATGATGACTAACACTGACTCAACTAACATCATGAAGGCCATTTTTTCCTCCTTCCGTATGACGAGTCTGTTGATTTCTTGAAAACAATTATAACGTTGTAATTTGTCAGCTTGGTGATGAGAGCTTAAGTAAATATAGTTAATAAATTTAAGCAGCATTTGAATAAAAAGAAAAAATTATAATGTCACAGCTCGATACTAAAGTGTCAAATTTTTTTTCGGGCGGTATTTAATAAATAAAAACGTATACGTATTTTGTCTATGTTTAGTTAAATAATTATATTTTAAAGTTATTGCTGCTCATTAAATCAATAAAAAAAAATATTAATTTTTAATTTAATTTCGTTGTAAAAACACATAGACAAGGGCTCGTGCGAACTTTCTTGATAATTTATAATATAATTTCAATATTTAGTTTAGTCAAAAATGCAACATATGTAGTAGAAGGAAAATATTTAAAACATAAGAACATAACAAAAAAGTAAATAAGGTCTTTAAAAATAAAATAATAACTTATTAGAAATAGAATATTTTACAAACTAAATATTAAATGTAGTAGAGGATTAGTTAACGAGTAAATTATTATGGTTTCGTTATTTTGTTTAGATTGACAATTGAAGGTATTCTTTAGAGCAATATGTGGCTCTCACCAATTCCGCTGCATGGAAACCGAACTTATCCTTTTTCCCACTCCGTCGGTTAACGTTACTGTGGTCGCTTCTACATCATTCCACTCTTCCTAAAACAATCTTCTATATTGCAGTTCAGCATGATGGCGATGAAAAAACCATAGGATTTATTATAACTCAATAGGTTATAGTTCATATCTTTCGTCAAATATTAAAAAAGAAAATCTGAAAATTTCTGAGCTGTTATTATTAGTTGAATGGCATCGATTACTTTGTTTTGCTTAAGATATAGTTTAAATTAAAATCTAAATTGAGTACATAAAATTTATTTCCTTCTTTTAAGACATGCAATATAGCCGAGATTGTAAGTACCTTTTAACAGTTTAATTTAAACTTAATCCGGTCCTCGATAATTTCGACTCCTTAGGGTATGTATTACAGGCATTTTAGTTTTTTCCGGCTGAGAAATACTAGATGTTGCATTACTCATTTCATTTTCATGGGTATCAAACCGATCAATTGCAGTTTTGTCATCATTTGTTGATTTTTTTTTTCTTTTACAGCTATTTCCTAACAGTAGTTGAGTAACAGCTCCTTCCAGGTAAATTAATTGAGGGCCATGTTTTTTTTGTTTTTTTTTATTTTAACCCATCGATGTTTCTTATAATAATAATCATAAAATATTGAAAAATTATGTGTTTACAATTGGAGTTTTTAAAATGGGTATCAGAAGTGTTTTTTATCTATCGTTATCAGCTATCACAAGTTGAGCTGTCTTATTTACCCTTCTTAGAATAGCTCTGATTGACGCGGGACCCATCTTACATAAGCGTTGTTGATAACTACTTCCGTTGATAAGTCAGACCGTATACAACTATCGCTTGGGTGATGGGTCTGTTCATTTATAGCTCTTAAATACAATATGTTATGAAATATTTACTGTTTCATACCAAAGGAATGTGTTACATTTTTGGTATTTGAAAAAAAAAATATCATAATATAAAATATTTAAGCTTCGAGTGTGGATAAGGAAAGGAAAGGATA